TTCCTGAGCCTTTTTTATTGTTTGACATAATATATTTTTACGTGTTCGAATTATGACTGTTAGTCCCTGGTACCACAAATACCTGATTCTGCAAGTGCTGAATCCCTCCAGCTCCTGCTGATTTTTGAACTGTGGGACCCAGGAAAGGTACTTGCTGCCACAGCAAAGGACTTTAGGGCAGTTCTGCATGCAGTTGCTATGCTAAGCAACAGAAATATGAATGTGAAGTAACATCTAAAGGCATTTATTAACCAAAAAAAAAGGCTAAGTTTTTAAATAACTGAAATACAGGATATGATGTAGCTTACCCGATGGAAGAGGAGAGGAATTTGGTTTCAGTAACAGCTTGTTTCTCCTGATCAAAGCCTATCCTTCAAAATCTGCTGTTTTTTTGGAGCAGATAGATCTGTCTTTTGTTCCCATTGATCAACAGAAAACGTTAACACAGAGAGGTCCATGCAAGTAATTTTCTTTTAAAAGGCAGAAAATATGGTATGTTCTCAGTGTCTGTTTGCTACGTGTAAACAAAATGTAGGTGTGTGGATAGCGGAGCTCATGATATCCACTGGTAACTTGTCAGACAGCGCAAGAGCTCTGTCTTCCAGGTGTGTTTTCAACCAGGAAAATATTTACAGAGATCTGTGAAGCAGTGATTCGTAACGGCAGGTACTTGGAATAACAAGTTTTCACTGTATCTCTGCATCAAGCCTTTGGTTTTCGACAGACATACATAATTAAAAGTGTGTTTAATTAAGCGGACATTTTTTGCGTTCGAAGGTTCCCTTGAGGCATCCTTTAAAACGAAAGTATTCCGTCCTCAGGAGATTCTAAAGCAACAGAGCCTGCGGATGTTTGAGCTGGTCCAGAAGCACCCCCCCCACTGGCCTCCTTTCATCCCTCCAACGAAGCCAGAAGTGACAACCACAGGAGCAGGTGCCGTACCGACGTGCAGCAGAAGGTTCCTCGTTAGCAGACAGAAGAATAACGATGGGAGGAAGAAGGATGCTGTCCTAAGTGTCGAGCAAACACCATGGGACTAAACACCTTATTCTGACACAGTATCAGACAGTTGCCCAAACAGGCCACGTACAATTGCTAACACAGCTATAGATACACGTGTCTTTTTAATCTTACAGAATACTTTGAAGGACACATTTGAGAAAAGTGGGGGGGGGGTTGTGGGGTTTTTTGTTGGTTTTTTTTGTAAGTAAACAAAACCAGGCATGTCTTTAGATTCTAAATTCTTTTTTTTTTTTTTTTCAGAACTCATTGAATCTACTGACAAGCTATTTGAATTGGAAGAAGAATTTGAAATCCTGAGTGTATGAAGGAAACTGTGGTGACCCTTCTGAGTACTGAACATAATGCTAATATTATTGCATTGACTTAAATCCAACAGCCATGTTAGCCCCAAAGTGCCTGAAATTACAGATAACAGAGCACAAAACCCTCGTAGCATCCAGAACTCCAACAGTGACAGTTCCCTCTGTCAAAGAGCTTCCCTAGCTGGCAAGGAAAGCAGTAGGAGATCTTACAGTAAGACCCTTAAAGGGAACCTCTTTCTAATGTGTGTCTTTCCCGAAGACAAATGGACCTTTGAGATAAAGGCAAAAATAAGGGTATCAATGGGCTGCACGTTCGGAGAACGGGATAACATGAAATGGCTATTTCTTGCTCTCCTGTAATGCAATAGTTTAGTTCTTAAAAGCAAAAGAGTCTTCAGTGAAGGAGAATGTTTACTTTGTTCCCTCCTGTGGGCTGCATCGTCGAAAAAAATACATTGTCTTGTTTAAAAGATCGACTGGATCAGAAGAAAATTGTTTCCTTGTTAAATATTTTAACATGTACTTGAGCAACCACACTTTATTACAAAAATGTTTCTGTAAAAGGAACTATGTCTAATGTATACGTTTTGCAATAGCCTTCCTGTTTCTGGGAAACCTCAAGAGGAACAGGAGACTCAAACAGTTGCTATAGATCACAACCACTGTTACAGTTACGGTGTATTTCACCTTGACCTTAAAATCCAAATCGTTAAAACTTAGGCTGACTTTTCTTTCAGAGCTAAAATGAGTCAAAGGTGGTTTAACTGTACCTTATTTATTTTAAAGATTTACACGTTTCTCTGTTACCGCACTTTATCTGTGCATCTAATAAATTTCTTAAGCTTTTCATAGGTTGTATGCTGCTATATTTTGTTAATTTGTTTGTGTGAACTAAATATAAACCAGGTTATCTTAAAACTTAATATATAGGCATATGCAAATTACTTAATTGTTGGTTTTTGACTTGTTGCCTTTTGAAATCTGTTTTGGTAAAAGTGCCTTAATCCTACAGGTTTATCAGAACAGCCTGTGTGGTTTTATTTCTAAGGCAGAGTATCTCTCTAGCAGCCATAAGAAAACCAGCTCAATAATTAAAGGCAAAGATCTTTTAATCCATTATGAAGTTCCTTTTTACTATCAGACAGTCCCCATTATGGTCCTTTTGTCATGATGGTGTAATGGACGTGAATCGCACAGTTTCATCTTCACCAATAAACGACAACAGAGAGAAATCCTGAACGCTGTCTCCTCTCACTTGCACTTTGTGATCAGGGCCAGTGTGATTTCCAAGAAAACAGTTAACCAGATTTCGTCTTAGTTGCCTTCAGAGTTTATTAACCAGTGTTTATAAACTTAGACAAAATACCATTTTCTTCCCCTCTCCCTGGATTAGCTGCATGGTTTTTTGAAAACAAAGCATTACTTCTTAATGAATACATGAACTTACTGTAACAGCAAGTGTAGCCCTCTGCTCCCCACAGACAAAAATGAAGCCCTTGCTCTGAAATGCTCAGTCTTGAGCAGTAACTGCTAAAAAACCCAAATCCATCAGTGGCGCACAGTGTACTTATTCCCCACGTTGCTCTTAGCTGGTAGGAGATCTTGGCCCTGCAGACCTCCTGAAGAAGGGTTCTCGGTGGGGGTAGACAAGAGGTATGAAAGCGGGGCTGATGGATGAATGGCTGGTACTGGGAATTCCTGCCCTGTGCACCTGACAGAGAATAGTGGCTGCTGTGGGAAAAGGCTGGGCTTGTCAGACACCGCTGGCAGTGGAGCTGGGTGACTGCGATCGAAGCAGTTCCCTAAAGGCAGTGGTGCTTGAAACACATACAGCTCTGATCCTGGAAAAAAGACTAACTGCATTTGCCAAGTCCCTGTAGATACAACAGCTGATTGACACCCCTTTTATAGCACCATGGGAGCCCCGTGGCTGAAAAATTCATTGTCGTTTGCCAGCTATTTGCACAAATTTTCAAAAAGTAGTGAGCTTCGCTGCGCCTGCACAGTGTTTTCAAGTTGCATGTGCATAACCCAAGATGTAAATACAGCGAGATCTGCCTGTGCTGGGACAGCTGAGAAGTAGGCTGGGTGTTCTGCACGGAAGGATTGCTACGCAGGAGCATCAGAGTGCCTTAAAGATACTTGCAAAACACATCAAAGCAGTCGCTGATCTTTCACAATTAGGAATAAGTTAAATGAAAGACTAAATTGTTCTTCACAAATTCTCTGCTCACCTCCAGCGTGGTTCAACTCTAGAACGTGCAGAGCTCTCTGACCCCGATCTAGGATGATAATATTACATTATGCATGTAAATAAAGGTAAAAATATTATCTGCTTAAATGTAATCATGTTCTTAAGTACTTTGCTGGATAGAGCTAGAGCCCTAGAAGCTAGTGAAGACAGAATACTTTAAAATAATGTCTCAGTCTTGCATTAATAATAATTTTCTGAGCAATCTTGTCTTAAAGATTTTTAAGCCAAGGTGATGGTGTATTTGCAAGGCACTTCTTTCAAATGTCCTGGAATGCCAATATATAAGGATTTCATAGGCTTCACTCTAGAAAGGTCGACAATAACTTTAGCCCAACTAAATGAATTCATTCTGTATATATTAGCATACCTTTTTCATGGCTTTCCCTCAAAATAGACAAGGATAAATCAAGTAGTGGCACTTCTCTTTAATGATGCCCTGAAGGAAAGCGTGAGTAGTTAACAGCGCATACACGGGCAATACAGATTTTTAAACTAACAGAAATCAAGCCCAGAGGAAGAAGCACACAACACGTCGTGCCTGTAGAAGTAAAAAATGTACATCCCATAACTGCTTGCTCCTGTGTTTGCATAAGCTTGCCTGCTGTCTAGAAAAGCCTCTACTTCCCAAATACACACAGCTCGCATACCTACAAAAGCAGCGTGCCAAGGCTACCTCAGAAAGGACGTTTATGTTCGTAGTAATGAAACATTTCTGGTGGCTGCAATCATTTGTCTGCAAGGGGGCAGGCACAGACCACGAAGCAGACATTTTACCTGGAACAGATTTCAACAGAAAGCTGTGAAAAATGCTAGAGGTGATTTGGATTCACCTTCACATCAAAAATTGCATTTTTCGCTGGCGTGGCTCTTTAAAGTCACCTGTGGATGAGAGTCTGGATTAGGACTGATTACCTGTCACTGGAGGAAAGAACATCCCATCTGTTTAATAAGCAAAGCAAAGCAAATTAATCTTTGAGTCTTCCTAAGGAAGTCAGTTCTCCACCAGTAATGCTCAGGGTTTCTAAGTCACCTATAATACACCGATAACTTTTAGGTGGCGCTGTGTGTCATAGGAGAATGAGTCTTCATTCCCTTACACGAGGCCAAATACTGCTTGCAAAGACACCAGTAAAGCACAACTTCTCAAAAGTCTCTCCTGTTGATGACAGGCACGTGCCTCGGACAGATGAGTGGTGCGAGACATCAGCTACTCTTCGGTCTGAATAAAACTTGCAGAGACTTCCTGAGGTAGCCATAAATGAGGGAAAAAAAACCATTGAAGTAAAAGCATAGCACCATGTTCTGTAAAAAAGAGGTTTCAGAGCACTGGTCTTTCCCTCCTCTGTGTGCAGTCAAACTCTGGGAGCTGACACTTGATTTTTGTAGAATTCTGGCTGTCTTGATTTACCCATCAACCACTTGATTTTTGTAGAATTCTGGCTGTCGTGATTCACCCATCAACCACACACAAAACAGGTTTATGAATTTATCCTTCTTCCCATCAGTGATGTCTAGTCTTGGGTAACAAAGACTGCTCATGTTACCGCTTTCTCGTGACTACAAGTTCTTCATGCACACTTGGCAACGGCTGACCCTCGTTCGAAGCTGTCCAGCTTTCAGAGTTTCGGAGGGAGGAGCACTGACAAACTGCTGCGACTGCTCCACCGTCGTCAGCCAGAAGCTGTATTTGTTGGCAAAGTAATGGCACGTTCCTCTCGCCCCGTTGCATTCAATGAAGGGGGTAGCACGGAAATCCTCCAGGCAAGAACCCGGCGAGACAAGGGACTGCCCTCCTCCTTCTGCACCAGCCGCAGTGTGCTGAAATACAGACGTCAGTTTAAATGAGTGCAAAGGAACAGAATGGGAGGTAAATGGGGGAACCCTCCAGCTCTACTCTTAAAAGGAGTAAAGCAGGCAACCAAAATTATACCTTGGCCACGTGTATCCACCTTTTGGGTCAGGGCTAAAGGTGAAGAAGCAAAGGGATGTATTTAGGCTGAATATATAGGCCTGGTATAACAGTAAACCTGCTTTTCACTTGCAGGCTGGGAAAATTTGTAAACAATAATGCTGACTTCGTACTTTCCTAACAATCTTACACATAGAAGCTTCCAGGAGAGTGCAACAGAGAATGTTCTACTTTTTTCCACTGAGAGGAGATTAAGACAATGCTGTAGCTTAATTAGCATTTCCACATTTAAATGTTTGAGAACAAAGAATACCTGTAGCAATAGAGAACTACTGCATTGATGTTACCACTGAACTTGAGCAGTACAGGTGAGGTGGCCAGCTAAACGGGAACAAACTCAGAAAGCCTCCAGCAGGCCAGCTGACAAGAAGCTACAGGGCTCTAGTTTCCTGTAAGCAACTCCTAGAACTTGGTCTCACATCACATAATCAAAGAGGAGATCTGGAAATGTTTAAAGCTGCCTTTGTGCCAGCAGTAGTATCCTTACCATAAGGAAGGAGTATCCTATCCATAGGCTGCGCCAACCAAGGGGACACTGCGGGATGGTGATGTCCTGGCTGTGCACAGCCACAGCCTGGGAAGGTGCTTCACATACTGAGCAACGACTGATGTACTGTGGGATCTGAACGCTGTCCACTGGCATCATGGGGATAGGAGCAGTGGTGGAGAGCCAGTAGGACTTGTCATTTCGGCTGGCGTAGTAGCACACTTCATTGATGTTGCAGTAAATAAAAGGCATGGTGCTGAAGCGAGGCAAACATGAGCCAGCAAAACCTGGAAAAATCGGAGAAGCGGTCACGTCAAGTATCTGCCAAAAGCTCCAACTCACACACACCAGACATGCGTGGCAGAGGATGGCACAGGTGACACTGCTCCCAGTACAGATTCTGGCCAAGCAGACTTCCACCACCTCTGCTACAACCTCCCGTGGTACCAATGAAGATTGCTCACTTGAAATGGGATTTTGCCCTACCTTGTTCATGCCTGAGAGAAGTCTATCAACTCACCAAGGTCCTGGTTGTGTGACTTCTCCTGCCCTTCCACGTACAATAAGCTGTAGCCGTCCCAGAGCTTATTCATTCCTATGGGACAAGGTGGGATTTGGTCTGACTGACTGTGCTTTACTAAAGTGTATCCAACGCCCACGCTCCGTCCAGGCATTCCCGGCAAACCAAGGGAGCCCGGCTTTCCAGCCACACCTAGAAGACAGAAAAGGAGTCACTATTACTAATGCGTAGTGCGGTCACCAGCTGGATCTTTACCCGATTTTCACATTGCTGTCGTTGTGTTTCTGTCAGTCTTGTTGAATGAGGAGCCCAAGTTTTGACGGTTTTATGAATAACTAGACTTTTCGGCTCCAAAAGCAGTCATTTCACAGTAACATCCACCCGTTTCCCACCTCATTTCATTTTCTTTCTTTGCCCAACAACTCTGGTGGCAACGTGTTAGCACACATCTCACAGCACAGTAATTCTGAGGATCTCAAAGCACCAGTCAAAACCTAATACATTCATTTTTGCTATACTGCTCTTCGTGATGATATTCCTTTGACACAGAAAGGCCGAAGGTTGTACAACAAATCTGTGGCAGAATCCAAATCTTCTGTCTCTCACCGTGCCTCTCCTCTACTCTCCAACCCTCACAGCTGTGTTCACTGTGAATACCATGTCACTCTCTTAGATCTTCAAGACGACTCCCTCATCCACAAAACATTAAACCAAATGATGTTCAGAATTGTACCTAGGGAAACATCAGCAGTGATAGACAACAATAACATGTGGCATAATCTTCCTCACTGAAGATTAAATTTACTTCACTGCAGATACAAGATCGTGTACATCCCCTGGTCTTCCTAAGGTAAAACTGGGTGTTGGGGAAGGTCTCTGCAGAACCTGAGGCAAACAGAATTCTACTGATTGCTTCTGTCTGATCGGTGCTCCCCAAACCATAAAATTACCTTCAAATCCCTGTGGTCCTGGGGTACCCGAAGGTCCTGGATCCCCAACTATGCCAGGGGATCCAGGTAAACCATCACGTCCTTTCAAACCAGATCTTCCTGGCAGACCTTTCGTACCTGAAATTAAATATAATTATTACTATCGTTATTTCCTCATACTCCAATCACATTCCAGAAGAGAAATACATTGTCAGCAGCCATGCTGAGAGCTCACTCTTCAGCAGCCATGGTTACAACTAACTCCACAGAGGGATTCCACACGATCTGATTGCCTGTTAAAGGATCAAGAGGTGCAGGTGAACGTTAGACAAGGCTGAAAACGCAGCACTGAGATCTGGGATAAGCCTCTGATTTTAGTTGGACCTAAGACTCAGGTTTCAATATGACGCCTGCGGAAGTCTGAGAACTCTTCTCATCTCTGTCTCACAAGATACCTGTCAATGTGAAACCAAGAATCCTCTGGTATAATGGTCCAGCTGTTATCAGCTGAAGAAAGTTGAGCTACCTTGCTGAAATTTTGCTTAAGACTTGAAGTCGCTTCTTTTGCTTGATTTCACCCTTTTTTCAAACCAGAAAATAAGTGATGTTCCCGCTCTAGGATTTTTCAGGAATAAAAGTGAATATTAACGTTTAAAAATCGCCTAAGTGTGGTGCTGAGAAAGGAACCGTGGGGACTTGCGGGGCCTAGGAGAGCCAACTGGTGCAGGACCCACCAAAGCTGTTTGCCAAACAGAATGAACCACAGTGGTGCAGGCTGAAGTTCCCAGCCCTTCTCCAGTTAGAGTATTTCATTGACAATTCAAATAATTCTCAGTGGTGAATCATTTTCATGACCACTCCACCTGCTAGTACCAAAGCTGGTATCATATCAGCTACATCACAGGCTGCTGCACCTAATTCTGGAAACCTAAATAAAAAATACTACAAAAGCACACGAGCAGAATTTATCAAATATATTCTAATAATAATAAAACATGGTATTTGTATGCATTTTGCTGGAATTATTTCCTTTATTAGGAAAACCTGTAAAACTTCCTAATGCATTTGAGAAGGTAGTGTTGTTCTTCCTGAAGGCCAGCATTTCAGTGATCTGAGTGTACTTTTTACCTGGTTTTCCAGCTGGGCCCTGGAATCCATGATCTCCATCAAAGCCAGGGACACCATCAATTCCTGGCAGACCAGGTAAGCCTGCAGGGGCTGTGACTTCTTCTGGCTGTGGGGTTATACCTGGAGCCCCTTGTCGGCCAGGGAGACCTGGACATGGCGCAAACAACAGTGTAAGTGCCCCACAAAACATTCACAGTTCTGATGATAACGCTGACACAAAGAAGTATGCTAAATTAAGGCTGCCTTAGTACATCAGCACTGGGTATCTTTCTAATTTATTTCAGTCTCTAAGAAATTAAGAGTCCCCCAAATAAGCCCATTAAGGGAGCTTTGAATTCTTGCCCAGCCCAAGCCATGTGCAATAAAGTACAGCTTTTCAAATCCACCAGCACTCACCTCGACGGCCCATTTCACCTTTCAGCCCAGGGTAACCAGGATCCCCCGGAGGCCCGTCTTTACCTGGCATCCCCATAAGGCCAGGCTCACCTCTTATACCTGCAAAGATACACAGCTAAAGACCTCAGGGGCTAAGGACAGGGTCCTGATTCTGACCCACAGCTGGGGCACTGAGAAACACACTGATGGCAGCAATGGCAACAGCATTTCAGCTCTGAGATGGAGGAGACCATGGAGAACGCCCTTAAGGAACTCTGTGTCCATTCCGATGTCCAGAATGGCTGCAGAGCCTCAAGATGAGAATTTCCACTGCTACATAATTACACTTTATTGAAAGTATTCTTCCCCTTCCTTGGGTAACCCAGAAAGTGTTTGGGGAGTACACTCCTTTTCTATTTGGAATCCACCTCTACACACAGCACAGAGGGATGGGGATCTGCCAGCCTACAAAGATAGCACACAGTTCTTCACCTGGCAATGGTTCTACATCTTCCATGGCTTTTGAGCTGTGTGGTTTCTTTGAAACCTTGCTACTAGAGTTCTTGTTCGCAGCTGCCCTCTAGTCTCCTCTGACAGAGACCAAAGAGAGAGCAACCTGCTCCCTGCCTTAGCCCAGAACAAGATTTCATCTCCTACAATCCTCTTAGCCTCTTGTGGAGACTTAAACCCACCACACTATGCCTCTGAGCATACATGATAGGTGGGATGAAACAGCACCTCCAGTCTGCCTAGACAGCGTATGCAAGTGGGTAACGAGTCAACCAGCACAGCACCATTGCCTATGGACATCATCTCCTCAGAAAAAAAAAGGGGGGAGAGGGAGAGGGCAAGGGCAAGGGCGAGGGAGAAAAAAAAAAATCATCACACACTGAAGAGCACCTGGCACTGGCCTCACTTTGCTGCTTTTGGAGTCAGTAGGTAAACCCTGTACAGGCTAAAAGGGAAGAACTTAGACAACGAACTCAGCTGTGCTTACACCTGAATGAGGACTCGTTCTAAAGCAGTCACACGAACCACAGGATAGCCGTTCATACTGTCAAGGTGACAAACCACACCCAGGTCCTTTCAAGGCAAGAATACCTTTGAATCCAGATGCTCCAGGGAGTCCAATTGGACCAGTGGGTCCCACGTCACCCTTAATGCCTCGCAAGCCAAGAACACCAGGGAAACCTGGATTGCCTGTGTCACCTTGGTCAGAAGCTGGGCCAGGGGGCCCTCGTAGACCTGGAGGACCTGGAAGACCTAGAGAAAACAGGGGTAATTAGCACAGTCTGCTGCTGGGGCAAAGTAAATGCTGGGGCTGTTCCCCCCAGCATGTCTTTCTAGAGGGCATTGTTTGGACATCTGTATTTCAAGGGGTGTCCTCCTCCCAAAGGAAAAGAACCAGACCCACCCACTTGTAGTCACATAAACATTTAAATCCTTTTAACTACAGTAATTTAGCTCAGAATTCTGAGCCTGAGCATAGCCCTTGCCCCACCTGGTAGCTAGCCTGGTGACTCAGACATTCCCTAGGAGAATGAGAGTAGTGGCTTCAAATCCTTGGCCAGGGAAAGGCCTAAGAGTCTCAGCCTCTCTGACAAGACTGTGAGGTACTGAATGGGTACCAATGCCATCATGACAAATCTTTCAAACTGTACTTGCTGTCGACCCCACAGCAAGTGCCTTTAAGCAGCAACGAAGCTTTGCTGCCTCCCAGCTCACACGGGGTACTTCTGAACTTTATACAGTGCCTATGATTACAGCTGTGGAAACCACAGTCCAAAATGGAGCTGGTGCCCAAATTTATGCTGGACTTAAGTACCTACCTTAGTGCCTGAGTCTGTCTTCAGTACCACAGTAAGTGAAATGAATATGGACTACAGAGCTTTAATAACAAGCTAAATCAAACCAGGATTCAATAGCAGGAACTGAAAACAGATCTCCTCATTCTCAATCCCTGATCCAAACCCCAGGTTACTAAAGTGATACTACTTATCCAAGTCATTTCCCCTCAGAACTCTTCAAAGGAAGCACATAAAGAAACAGAAATCCCCTTGGCTAGTCCACTCTCCTTAAAAGGCCTCTCTTCATACCTGAGCTCCCATCAGCTCCTGGATGGCCAGCATCCCCAGGTCTCCCACGTATATCAGAAGGAAGAGAAGCTCCGGGTGTTCCTGGCAAGCCAGGCAGTCCCACAGGACCAGGGGGACCTGGAGCAAGAAATACAAAAAGAGAGAGTGTACTTAAAGCTCTTCAGTGACCTTCACGGACATGGACAGAAGTAGTGGCTGAGTAGACTTATACTGAGAAGAACAAAGAGACACTTCACTACACGAGGGGAAAAAAATACATATTCTGCTGTCCACGAGAGGTATAGACACTGTAAGAACTGTGTAACCAACAGTTTCTCAAAAATATAGCCACATCACAGATTTAATGTTTACCTGTCAAACTACTAATCGACTTTGTGGCTTCAGGAGTCCTCTTTGGTAATTTTGCTGACCATTAACTCATTAACCTGAGCTGCAATACATCCCGCTGGGCTTCCAGAACATCAGTGCTTACCCATGTCTCCTGATGAGCCTTTTGGTCCAGGGAATCCTAGAGCTCCTCTGCCCAAGCCTGGAGAACCTTCTTCACCCTTTGGACCTGGGAGACCTGCAGGACCTTTCAGTCCAGCTTCACTCAGACCTAATTAAACACGGTTAACAAACATAAGAGAGCCTATTCAAATTGCCTAATAGCAGTTAAATTATTACACAAACTGAATTGTAATAAAAAATTAGCCATTTACTACTCTCTCTGCTGTTTTCAGTGGAACAACAGAAAGAGATTTGGTGCCTCAGGGTCTACTCTGGTTGTGCAGAGCGAATTTAAACAACCTGCAAGATGCTGAGAGAGAAGCGTGTGACTGTTCTGGTCTTCCCACAAACTCTTGCACAAGCATGTGAACATCACACTCCTGTGATAGGATTTGCCTGCCAGGCTGCATTCTGTGTCTCTCAAGAGGATGCAACATAGACTCAAGTTGTTGGGTCTTTAAAATCTAGTGAGATTCATGCTCCAACATCGAGAGATCAGTTTCCACAGACTACAGCAGAAGACACACAGAAGCACCAGTGGTGCAGAGCAGAGGCTCCCAGGAAGAGCTGCAGGGAGATGTTCAGCATGTCACTCTGGTAAGAGTAAATACTGAGCAGCTCTCTCAAACAGGAAAAATTGTGGAGGATCTACATGCTGTAAATCATTACCTTCCAACAGAGAATGTTTTAAACAAAGAGAACACAGGTATTATTTGAGCTGTACACATAAAGACTTTCAATTTTTATATGTAAAATGTCTGCCACAAATTTTAAGTGCTGCTTTACAAGATGACTGTAACTAAGCAAGTCTCTTTGGAAAGGTCTTTCTCCACCTCTTTACATTTAGTAAAACACTGTTTGCAAAACAGAACAACATTCTATTTCATACGGTTAAAAAAATGAAAAAAAAAGTCCAGCAGAAGCTTCCCAAAAGCAGAATCCAGAAACTAATCAAATCAGCTTCTGATTTTACTGATGCCTTTCTTGAACTCCATGTAATGCAGGGATATGGAAAGCAGTAAGGAAATATGCCACCACTAAGCCCAACTCAAAGCAAGCACTTGATGCTGCCCTGCTAAAATCAAACATCCATTAGAAATGGAAAAGTTTTATGATTTCATTCCATTGACTTTCCAGCAGTGACACAGTCCTTCAGGAATTCAAGGACAACCATCACCAGAAAAGCCTCTTCACTCCACAGGCTGCATCCTATTCTTACCGGCATTAAAGAAGAATTTGTCCATGCACATTCAGTACCCTGAGGTTTTTCTTCAGGTTGTAATTAAATCCAGAACTAGGTGAAATAGGGGAATTTCATGGGAATGCTGCTGTCATGACGGACCAGTGTATGCATTTCCCCAGCTATGAAGCTTCTACTACACATTTCCTTTACCTGGTGTTCCAGGAGACCCTTTTGTGCCTGGCAAGCCGTTCAGACCATTTAAACCCGGAAAGCCATGAAACCCTGGAGAGACATTGGGAATACACGAGTGAACAAATAAGCAAGTAATCTAGTTAGGTGGAAACGCATAAGATGTTTCATGGAGACTACAACATGTACGAGAAACCTGACACACAGGGGAACACAGTATGTAAAGTCTTCCTTCACACAGGTCCCCTTCATGGAAACTCTTCACACTGCTCTGGCCAGTTTTACCCTCAGTGGTAAATCACCCCAAGCAAGTGAAAGCCTCTCCCTTTCCAACCAGTGCTCTGCTCATTTTTAGCAGCTGGTGCCTGCATTAACATTGCCAAGAAATGAGCTGATTTCCCACGCACAGCTGGCCCACACGTAAGAGTTGCCTGCCTGCTGTGATAGACTTGGCCAAAACACTGGTTTTCTGACCCAATTTCTCTCCCCATGTGCAGGCTCCAGATATACCTTTAGGTCCTGCTGTTCCATGAGCTCCAGGAAATCCAACAGGTCCTGGCTGCCCTGGAGGTCCTGGTGGCCCAGGGACTCCTCTCAGCCCAGCATTTCCAGGGATTCCTAAAAACAAGCACAAAAATGTTCCTGTACTACACATCCAGGATGGAAGAGCTCACAGCTCCATCTTACAGCTTCTGTTCCTGCACTTAACTCATAAGATGGGTGAATAAACTACTATTTAGATAAAGCAAAATCAGATCCAAATCTCTCCTCACTAACACTACTAGCATAGCACTTATCAAGCTGTTAATTTGATAGGTTTTTTTTTAATCATAGCAATGACAGTCTTCATCATCCCCCAAGTGACACTCTGGAACAGTTCACATACTGAATAACTAATTAAACTGGTTTTCAGATAAAATACTCCAATAATGACTTTCACTGTTCTCCCATCTTTAATCTTGACAACAATTTGAGAATCTACCTGCCAGTTACACCACTACCCAAAGACACTTGTAGCCATCCTTCTGGGTAGGTTTGGCTCTAGAGAGGGAATGGACAGAAATATTGCAATGGAAGATTTTAGACCAGCCTTGCCCATGAGCAACTGCAAAGAAGCTGCTACTGCTTGTTATCTAACTGAGGTCTTCCCTATTTGTTAAAGCAATTCCTTTAGGTTTCCATTGTGCAGGATTCACCACATGGTTGACCCACAGGACTGGTCACGACAAGACAAGGTGACACCTTACATCAATGTCAAAGAAAATTCCCATCTTCTTGTTTAAGTCTCAGCTGAGGCAGGTCAACCAGGGCTAAGGAAACAACAAGGTGACGTTGTTCCACAGTTACACCATGAAACACAGAACTTCGATGCCCAGTCCAGTACCTGCTGGTCCTTCTTGGCCAAGATCTCCTGGGCCACCTTTGAGTCCATTCACCCCAGTGTTTCCTGGGTAGCCCGGTTCACCCTTGAGTCCTTCTCTTCCTCTCTCTCCTGAAAGGACAAAACCAGACAGCATGCTAGAGCACAAGTCAAACTGGAGGAAGGCGTGAAGAGAATGAGAAACGTCTTATGTTGAGGTTGCAGCACTTGTGTCTGCTTAGCCATAGCCCAGGTCCTGGACTGGGCTCCCTGGATGCCAAATACCAGCACAAGTTCACAAGTTCTTCCTCAAAAAGTGAAGTGGGACTCAGTGTTAGAATTGGGCTGTTCTCAGACATGTTCATTATCATCCAGATTTGTGTCCCAGCTGGACTCCAGACTCCTCAAATCTCACTTCCAGGAGAGGGCTAAAGTATTTAAATTTATAGATTACAAAACCACCCAAATTAGGCGATGCTATCCTCTTTAATCTCTAGAATTTTGCATTCTTGAAGCGAGCAATCAAGGGCTACTGTACCTTGGAACCCTGGGTCCCCTCGGTCTCCTTTTGCTCCAGCAATGCCAGGAAGGCCAACAGACTCGCCCTGGTCACCTGGAAAAGAAAGACAAGGTGGGGAGGCCATTCCCTAACTGACTGTGGTGAGCAGTTTTCAAGGCTGCTCAATAGCCTTGATTATGAAAATAAACTTTGCCTACCCTACTTCAAACCCATATGGAGCAAACAAAGACAACAGGAAGTGATGCATCTGAGTTTGAAAATGCTTATAAACAGCAAAAGATGCAAATTCACTCATGCAAATGCACGATAAGCAAACATTTATGGGTAACTCTACGACATCCTGCCCTTTACACTTTTGACACAAGGAGATGAGAGAGAAGGGTGCCTCTTATGTTGTCCAACTTGCTTCATACAGTGCTGTGGCCAAACTTGCAAAGGATTGTAAAGTATTTAGGCATTTGGCTTGGGACTGGTCTCATCTGAATGAAGCCCCTTGCAGGGGGACATGTACTTCAGAGCCAGTCACTGGAGAGCAACGGACACTTCTAGAACACTACTCATTCATTTTAGTCATGAGTATTAGGACTGTGTGTACTGAAAGACCATGTACACAATGAGAGATTTCTTACCCTTTGGACCAGGGAGGCCAACAGGTCCTGGGAATCCAAGTGTTCCCATGATGCCATCTGAACCCTGAAAAAAACCCCCAAAATTAGCCTTTGCTTTTTATTCTTGCTGTTTCAAGTTTGGGTCATGTGGGATAACAGACCACAAAGATGTAGGAAGAAATACTATCCAAAGTGTCATTCCAACAGTATGAGCCAATCAGAAACAATCCGGAAGTTTTGTAAGGAAAAATCCTGCCAGCTTCTGCTGCTTTGCTACAGAAATACCAGTTAGAACACAGGATTTTTCTAAGAGCACTTGGAGAAGATGAAGATA